CCGATAAACCCCTCCCCCATCAAGTCCCTTCTACCTTATTTTTCTCCATTCACTCACTCAATCCCTGCATCTTCATACCTCCTTCATTTAATTATTTTTTTACTTTACATTGTGTTTCTTGTTGACCTTGTCATCTCCTCCGTCATCTACTGTTTCGTTCTACTCAACACTCATTATTTCACAATCATTCATGACTCTTCCTCCCATCCTCTTCTCTTCCAATCCCTTTTTCCTTCTTCTGCACTTCGTCTTACTCCTCACTCTCTGCTATTTTCTTCCATCTCATTAATATAACCCTCGTTCATCACAAGAAACCAGCAGAATCAGGTCCAAACGTTGTGTAAATGAATGACAGGCATACTCTCGCCTTTCAAAAGTGAACAGAAAAGCTCCCAAATTGGATCTTAGATAGGTTTGTATTGATGCATGTCAAAAACGGCTAAAGAAAGATGCAGACTGACTGTAAAAAAGCAAAGAGGGACCTAACTGATGATAAATGCTTTTGGAGACAATTCAGCTTCTTGACTATAAAACATTTTTTAAATTGTTAGAGGTCATGTTTTGTTTGCATGTTCTCTGTTGTTCAAGTAACAGAAAACATTTTGGGATGCAATGATATCAATGTTGGAATTTTGTACAGCTCTGACCCACTCATAATGATTTTTGCCAGCTTCAACTTATTTGAAAAGAAACAACAAGAACTTGAAGGATACATAAAAATAACTGAGTAACTTAAAAAAAATGTTGTTTCTGGAAGTAAAATCTTGTACATGAAAAATACTGTAATGGTTGCGTTTTGTTGATGTTAGACTTTTATTTTGAAGTGAGTGTTCTTGGGGGGAAGTTCCAGTTCCGGGAGGGAGTGCGGGAGTTCTGGAGGGAAAACAGAGTTATTGTTGAGAGCTTGTGACTTTTGAGGGGAGATGAGCTGTGAGGCGTGGGTTATGGCCAACAGTAACCCAGAATAAAGAACCTAAAGAACCAGAAAACGAGTCGGGGTCATTACAATACATTCAATTCACACAAACTCAGTCATGCTAAAGATTGGAGCATTTTTTATGTTCAATTCAAATTCAGTTCAAAAATACTTTATTAATCCCAGAGAGAAATTGATTGCTGTAGTAGCTCAGAATAATCATAATAATCAAGTCATCAAAGAGTTGTTGTATATCACAATGGCTGTTGGCAGGAAGGATCTCCAGTAGCGGTCAGTGTTACAGCCAAACTGAAGAAGCCTCTGACTGAAGACACTCTTCCGTTGTCGGACAGTCTTGTGAAGAGAATGCTCAGGGTTGTCCATCATTTTCTTGATTCTCTGGACAATCCTTCTTTGCATTATCTCCTCCAGCGGTTCCACAGTCGTCCCCAGAACAGAACCAGCCTTTTCTATTAGGCTGTTGAGCCTTTTCAGGTCCCTGCTTCTGATGCTGCTACCCCAACAGACGATGGCTGAAGAGATTACACTCTCAACAACAGACTTGTAGAAGATCTGCAGCATCTTGCTACAGACATTGAAGGACCTAAGCGTCCTCAAGAAGGGCAGTCTGCTGTGTCCCTTCTTGTAAACGGCTTCGCTGTTCTTTCTCCAGTCCAGTCTGTTGTCCAGGTGAACTCCAAGGTATTTGTATTCCTCAACCACCTCCACTTCTTCTCCCATGATGGAAACAGTGTTTGACTCCACCCTGTTTCTTCTGAAGTCTAAAATCATCTCCTTTGTTTTGTTCACATTCAAGGTCAGATGATTGTTTCCACACCATGCCACAAAGCGCTCCACCAGCTCTCTGCACTCAGCTTCCTGTCCATCTCTGATACACCCGACAACTGCAGAGTCATCTGAGTATTTCTGTAGATGACAGTTCTCTGATTTGTACTGGAAGTCTGAGGTGTACAGGGTGAAAAGGAATGGTGAGAGTACAGTCCCCTGTGGTGCTCCAATGTTACTGATCGCCTGGTTTGATGTGCAGTTCTTCAGCCTCACAAACTGTGGTCTGTTTGTCAGGTAGTCTTTAATCCAGGCGATAGTTGAGGCCCCCACCTGTGTCTTCTGGAGTTTCTGGCAAAGTACATCAGGCTGGATTGTGTTAAATGCACTGGAGAAATCAAAGAACATGACCCTCCCAGTGCTGCCTGCTTTGTCCAGATGACAGTGGGCTGGTTGAAGCAGCTGGATGATGGCATCTTCAACTCCAACTCCATGGCGATAAGCAAACTGCAGCGGGTCCTGATATGTCCTAGTTTGCTTATTCAGGTGGACCACCAGGAGTCTCTCCAGGACCTTCATGATGTGGGATGTCAGGGCAACCGGTCTGTAGTCGTCATTGACTGATGGGCGAGTTTTCTTTGGAACTGGAACAAGGCAGGATGTCTTCCACATGACTGGAGCCTTCTCTTGGGCCAGACTGATGTTGAAGAGGTGCTGCAGAATCCCACAGAGCTGCTCTGCACAAGCCTTCAGTACTCTGGGGCTGACACCATCTGGACCTGCAGCCTTGTTCCTGTTCAGTCTCTCCAGCTGCCTCTTCACCTGACTTCTAGAGACAGATAGGTGGGAGGGGGGAGGTAAATGGGGCAGCAGCATCTCCTGACTTGGTTGAAGACGGATTTATAGAACCAGAAGAGTCCATGACTGTGTTAGAGGACAAAAGAGCTGGCGTGTGACAGGAAAATGTTGGATCAGAGGAGGATGGGATGTCTGATTGGCTGGGGACAGGCGAGAAGGATGCTGGGTTTGTTCCTGAACTGAACCTATTGAAGAACTTGTTCAGTTCATTGGCTGTGTCCAGGCCGCCATCTTTCGCGCTGTAAGGTAGCGCGACTCATGTTGCGAATGACCGCAGTCACCATCTTGCGACGGAGCGACTGTCTTGCATAGCAACACGATCTAACAAGGTGGAAATCAAGGAGGCTGAGGTCACAACTGAAAATGAGACCACCCCCTACACGATGAGCTGATTCTGCACACTGAGAGTGATGAGATTGGCTTCCGTCGATTCCTTCCACATGAAGTCCAGTTCATACACAACTTTGTAGAGGTGATGAGGCCCCTAGCACCTGCATTAAACATCCTTCAAGCACAGAAGAACATCTTTCTTGGCTACCTGGCTCCAACCATAGTCCAGCTCCAGTGCCATATGAATAACCTGTTGTATGAGAGCATGAAACCCACAGCTGCAGAGGGCCTGATTACATGCCGTCCCCTCATAGAGAACATCTTGAAGTCACTGACCACGAGGCTGGGAGATCTTCTGGAGAAGAGGGAGAACATACTCTCTGCTATTCTGGTGCCAAGATTCAAGCTAGACTGGGTCCAAGATGAAGAGAAACGTGTGCATTACAAATTAATGCTAATGAGAGAATTTCAAACCCTCAGCTCAGTTCAGTACCAGGAGACTCCAGTCAAGCCCAATCCAGTAGTGAAGTAAACACGAAAGATCCTGCTGCTTCATTCTTTAGATTTCACAGAAAACCTCAAGTTTCTGGAAAAGGTGAAGTAGACACCTACTTGGATGCCCCAACCATAGATGGGTTTGATGAATATATGCAGTTTCCAAAGCTCAAAAGACTGTTCATAAAGCACAACACTGCGCTGCCCTCAAGCGCCCCGGTAGAGAGGCTCTACAGCCTTGGTGGCCTAATATTCAGGCAATCATCCTAAATAAAGGATTTTACTTTTTACATTTGCTCCTGCCTCGCGTTGTCTGGTGTTCAGCAGCTTGGGTCTGAAGCTCCTCCCGTTTTCAACGTGATATTAAGACGCAAGTTGTAAAACTTTATCTTTGAGCAAACCGGTCAGACAATCAATTGACAAAAATTTTTTAATAGTTATAGTTGAATAGTTGTACACTTTTAAAGACATACTCTCGAATAGTTTGTTTGAATGGTTTGCCTTTTTGAACATTGCACTTGGAGGTACGTTCTTTGTTTCCTACCACAGACTGTTTAAGAACTCCTCGTGCTTTTGGGAACATGTAGGAGTCAAAGCTGCAGCTGGGTAAGAGTGTGGACTGAATGGGTAGCAACAATTTTAACATACCAGGATTCTGAGGGTAAAATCTCACTACAGCATAGTGGGTGGAGAAAAAGAACTATGAACTAGTTCGTTTTAGGAACTATGAACTTAGTTAAAAAAATATTAATTATGAATGCAAGTTATTAAATTCCAAGACTTGGTGAAGCTCAAAACTGCGGAAATAATGTATAAAGTAAGAAATAAATTGCTTCGAAAAGAAATATGTTTATTGTTCAAAGAAAGAGAAAGGTGAATATAACTTAAGAGGGAAATGGAATTTAAAAATACAAAGTGGTAGAAGAACTTTAAAAACTGTCAATCGCAATTGCAGGAGTTAAATTATGGAACAGTCTAACTGAAGAGATAAAAGAAAGTAAAAACCAGTTTAAAGTAAAACATAAAAACCTAATTTTTAATAAGTATAAGAATGAAGAAAACAGGGTTCACCCAGGACGGTAAAGTGGATGGTTATGCTGTTGTGCTTCTTTTTTTGGTCTTTTTTGGTTTGTTTGCTTTTTCTTGTTTCTCCATAGCTGCTGAATCTGCAAACGTACACATTCTCTGTTTTCCATATGGTGTTTTTTTTAATAATTTTTTTTTCATATGCTGTTTGTTTAATTTAAGACTGAAAGAAAATTAAATGAATAAGAGGTAAAACTTGTAGGGACAAATAAGTAAATACTTCTGCCTGCTCCTTTTCAAACAAATAATGGAATTACATTTTGTAATGATGCATGTGTGAAATGTTTGAAATAAATATGAACTGAACTGAACTTTGAACTGAACTTTGAACTAGTTCACAGATACAGTGAACTTTCCCAACACTGTACACACACACACACACACACACACACACACACACACACACACACACACACACACACACACACACACACACACACACACACACACACACACACACACACACACATTTTTCCCTCTCCTGCTCCTCCACCCTCTCCCTTCACTCCTTCACATCCCTGAGGCTCACCCAGTTTCTTCAGGGAGCTGTAGCGGTTGATCTCAGGTTTCATGACTGTCTCGTAGGATGGCGGCAACTGGGCCAGGTTGTGGAAGGAGTGGGAGAAAGACGGGTGGCTGTTGTTGTGCCTCATGCTTCCTCCGATGATGCCGCTGACTCCACTGGTGCCTTTACCGCTACCTGAAATCAGGGTTGGCCCAGATGACAACTGGGAGGTGTTGTTCATACGGGGTCCATGCTCTGATAAAAGACAGACAGAGATGGACAAGAGAGAGAAAAGGGGAAGTGAGATTAGGAATGGAAAATGAGATGTGGATTGAAGGGATATTCTAGAACAAATAAACAAGAGAAGATGAAGGGAAACATTGTAAGATACAAATTTAAACTATAGGAGAAAACGCACTATAGATACAAGATTTACGTTTTAAAAAATGTTGAACTTTTTTTTTAAAGAGTGAAAAGACTGAGCAAAGGTAGAGTTTTCAAGCTGTTAAGCACCAGTGAACACAGGAAATGTCTCTTAGCTCCATGGAAACCATCTATAAATACAACTTTGGGCTGTTCATCTGAGGCTCCAAGATACCAACCACATGTAAATACAGAGAAATACACCAATAGCTGCAGGAGGAGTCATTACACACACACACACACACACACACACACACACACACACACACACACACACACACACACACACACACACACACACACATTTATGCAAAGTGCAAAAGCAGCACATCGATCGATACACATAAAAATGATTAGCCTTATGTAAGGTTTAAAGAGTGGGGGAGGGGCTACATGTATACTGCTATAAGTTACATCATCAGGTGTACATTCACTTACGCTCCACACACAGAAATTCAACGGCTGCACGCAAATATAAAAAACACAATGCAACAATTAAAGACTGTGCAACTGTGACCCTTCTGTCTTCGACACGATCGGTGTCGAGTATATCGATGGCGTTCATGGTTACGGGCCAGGATCTCGTTGAGATAACAGTAGGACATATACCGGCCATTGACAGTAATGGGCAGTAATGGCCAATGATGTCTCTGTTAAGTGCCACCCGGGGAACATAAACCGCATTGACTTCTGCACGGTTCTCACTACACACACACAAATACACAGTAACTCACACACAAACAGTAGAGAAAAGCAATGCTAGCTCTGAGTTAATTTGATTTCAAGAACAATCTGAAGATGATGAAGGGCTGAAGAAGAAGAATAACAGAATGCATCAAATAAAAAAAAATAACCTGGATGATTAGATTTGACTTTCAGGGGTAGGTTTCCTTATGTAAGGTAGAAATGAGCTGGCTTGGTGACAGAAGTTAACAAGAGTTTGTAAAGGTTCTCAGTTTTCCTGTAAGAGCCATAGAGCCTCAGTGTTGTGCTGCTGGATTTCTTTTTTTTTGGGGGGGGGGGGGGGGGGGGGGCAGCTGCTTTTGGAGACAAAAGAAATTTGGTACTTTTTCTTGTTCACTAAATGTCTTAAATTTAAGTAGTTGTCATATTTTCTACAGATAAAGTTGAAAGTTTAGATATCTAATATTAGTTACTAACTGATTTAGTTTTTTCTTTAATAAGAGGGGGACCCCACCCATATTGGTGTCAGTTATATCGGTACTGGATATTAAGAGTTATATAGGATGTTGGTAAAAAGCCAATGTAAAACATCCCTATTTCAAGATATAAATACATTTCAGAGTGACCTACTACAGCTCAACCAAATCCAACTTTTCTTTCACCACAGATGTTGTCCCTTCGAGAGTAAAGGTGCAACATGTAAGTATGACATCATGCAGACAAATGTGATTAGTCAGTCCTTTTTTCTATGCAACAAAAACCACTGGCCCAATCCCAATAGTCGCAGTGCACCTTACGGTCTTCTGTTAAGTGCACTTGAAGGAAGTGTTCGGTTAGACTTCGAGTGCGTGGTACACAAGTGTGCAAATAATTGCTGAATTGGGACAGGGAACATTGCTTCATGCCAGGATGCTTGTAGCTGTTCTACTTTTTGTAAAAACCTTTATTATCAACTTTCAAATAAATAGCCAAACACTTATTTGAAATAAATGTACATTCATTGCTGCTTTGTCTAAAACATTCAGAACATCAACTAATCGTCCACATCAATGCGGACTTGGGTGAAGTGAGGATCAAGGGTGCAAAAGGGGCATGATCAACTTCCGCACTTGAGAATCAGGACACCCTACGCACTCGCACGCCTGGCCGGGATCACGCAATTGTGTGGAAATGTGAGTATTGGGATTGGGCCACTTTCTTATGGGCTCGACACACGGGAGGCGACATCGCCTCTCCTCCGTTCATTTTCAATGAGACATGCGCGACAAAGTGATAATCGCAGGTCTCCCTCCTACCAAGCGAAACGCGAAAAACGTGCGTGTGAAATTTTGCGCTCGTGCACGTGTCGTGCACAGGCGACCCAGCGACGCGATCCCAGAAAGTTGAAACATTTTCAACTTTTCATCGCTGTCGCTCGGACGAGGACCAATCAACGGAGGTTTCATTCACTGACCAATGAGCGGACAGGATGCTCCGTACATCTCCGAGCAAACATGGAGGAGAAGTTGATTATTATTATGTTTTATAGTAAAATCAGAAGTAAGATTTCACATAACTCTAGCAGCACCTTGTGAAACATCATATCTACCGCTTTATTAACTCTGAACCGCTTAAATAACCTTAATTCCCTCCAACCTGACACAGCCAAGCAAAACAACGGAAGTTTCGATTTCGCCATGGAACAGAACGCGTAGACGGCTTTGCCGCTGGCCACTGCCGCGGGTCGCCTCCCGTGTGTCAGGTAATAAAAGCGACAGCGACAAATTTTGCTGATCGCGGTCGTTTGTCGCCTCCCGTGTGTCGAGCCCATCACTGTCGTTCCATGAGTTTCATGGCTGTGTATGACTGAAGACGAGTCATACACAGTTAGATAAGTAGATGAATACATTGTCATATTTGATGTTAGCACTTTTGGGTAAAAGTAATTAAAAGGATATTACATTTGATTTATAAAGCACATTATATCTGTCAAGGTTAAAAACATCTTACACTCATTAAAACACAATAACAAATGTAAATGAATTAAAATCACATTAAAAGTCAAATTGTATAAAGAGACAATGGAAAGCTAAGGCAAAAGTTTGAGAATAAAAATGTCTTTAGGGGCTTTTTAAAAGACAGTCTGTGGAGCTTGCAAATGATCCGGCAGGGTGTGCCATAACCGATACAAGCTGCAGTCTGAAAGGCTTTATCACCCACTGTGTGCAGCTTGGCTCTTGGGTGTTTTACGGTAGAGAGCACTTACTACTTTTATTTCGGTAAAATGTCTGCAGCATTAGAGGAAGTGAGGTTGTTTGCCATCTTGTTGTTAGCTTGTTTTATAGTTCTGAATGACTCCTTAAAAGAAGTCAAACGCCACGATTGACTCATTATTCTCTTCACACATACCTTTCACTGTAATACTGAGTTGGCGTTAATTGAAAAAGTAACTTGAGATTTTTTAGAGCCGACTATTTGCTTCCAGTTCACCATTAGCATTGTTTGACGTTAGAGTAAAACTATAAGATGTTGTGGCTTAGGGTTAGGTGTGGCTGTTTACCAACTTCAGTTCTTTAAACAACTCTGGAGATTCTTCCTGCTGTTGTTGAATTAAAAATGCAGAATCTACAGTGTTAGCTCGCGGCAGATTCGGCAGCATTATGAACTCACTGATTGTAAAAAAACAACCATGTATGGTTTGTTGAAAAGGGAAGAAGTCACAACGCTCCAGCCGGCTGGGAATTAAATCTGTTTCAGTATAACCTTTCTTTAAACATCAGTGAGACTTTAGACAATTCTTACATATTGCTCCTTTAGGTTACAGGTTTAGATATGAAACGAGACATCCATGTGTTTTAGAGTTTCTGCTGTTAGGGGGCCTTGAGTGAATTAAAAGCTCAGTCTTTTAAGAAGGGATGGGAACTGTGAAAATTCCTGCTCTTGTTATTATGGTTCCCAAAAGAAGAATTGAAGTTTGTGTTTTACATTTTTTTAATCCACGTGCATGCATCTGAAACATAACCTGTTTCTTCAAAGAAAAGTAAATAGTCCACATGGCTTCTGGTCCGCTGCAGCGATCACTCTGGTTACCAAGAGAGGGTGTCATCCGACTAACATCTGCTCAGATAGTTTTTGTTGTTGATTTTGTTTTGGACAAAAACATTTTTTTCTTTTTTTAAGAACCAGGCATCTAGGTTGAGCTACAATGGAACAAACACATTAAAAGAACCTTCTAAGGGAAACAATTAGTCGAGTTGAGTTTAAAATGGAAAATGGCCCACACACAGGAAGATTGACGACGACAAAAAAAAAAAAAAACCTCAATGAAAAAGCCAATGTTTTAAAAGCCTGCTTTGGAACAAAAAATGCCTTTAATGAAAAGGCATTGATGAACCAAAGACAGAGAGGTTAAAAAAAGGTTTAAAAAAGATGAAACGTTACATAAGTTTCTTATATGTGTGGATATAACAGATGGCTTTTAGTTACCTGGAGGCGGACATTTTTTCTGTAATTTTAGGGATAAAGTAACAATATGAACCATGTGCTTGAAGAAAGAACCCTGTAAGCTAAGAGGTACCTTTTAAAAGTGCCGGTACTGTGTATACCGGAACCGGCCCGGCTATAACGCGCTTTTTATGAAGCTATAAGAAAACTGATATTTATAAAATAATTAAGTTTTTTGAAGTTGAATCTGGTTTTCTTTGTTGCTTTGGTCATTCTGAGAAAATAATCCAAGTTCAGAATTACTGACACTAAAATTCAAAAACAAATTCATGGAAAAATGACACTGATCTCCTTTATCATTATGCTGCCATGGCAACTGCATCCAGCATTCTTTCATAGCCTTCATCCACAGTGGGGGTTTGTTTATTCCGTGTGACTGCAGCGTATTTTCTAAGAGATAAAACACTAGCATTGCTTTTTTGTTTTCTTGGTGCAAAGCCTGGGAAAACAGACTCTGGTGAGAGAAGTGGTCTCCTCTCTTGTTTGGTTAGAAGCACACGTGCACGTCACTGCGACACAGAGAGCGAAAGAAAGAGAAACAAGCACATTGGAAGCAGGTTTGTGGTGGAGGTGATGGGTGAGTAAAGGGAGGACACAGGCTTGCAGTAAGCACGGGCAGGCCAAACAACTTTAAGCTCACACTCTTATGAAAGATGTGTCAATTTCAACACAACTGTGAGACAAAGCAAACTTCATTGTATTAGTGCTGCCAAGATTAGTCGATTAGTCATGATAACGACTTCCAAAATCATCTATTACAAATATTATAATCAACGTCATCATTTTTCTAAGTTTTTTTTTCTTTCTCAGAACTGCTGCTGTAATTTCTGCTGCTTCGTCTACCTTTCCGCCCTTGTCCCAGATGCACCGTAGTGGCACTCGGGGTCAGCCGTAGCATCACCTTAAAAGCCTAAACAGTCACCGTGAGCTGGCAACGGCGCTCTAAAGTTTGGGAGCATTTCATGAAAATTCAAACAGAAACATGTGCAAAATCTGCGAGGTAGAACCTGCTTTCTATGGCAGTATGCTGGTAACTCACAAGCATCTTAAAAGGAAGCAAGTTGTGGACGACAACAGAGACAGTTTATTTAGGCTAATTTGCTAGTTAGCTGCTAACATTGGCAGTAAGCTACTTATTTTTATTGATAGCTGTAAGATTAACAATAGCAACATGTATTTCCTAACCCTTAAAACACATTCAGTGTTTTGTGTAACATTTTAAACACAAATGTTTTGTTATGAAAGGAAGCACGGTGTGGCTGGCTAAGAAGAGTGACAGTCGTCTCCTGAAGCTACTTTGCTAGTTAGATGCTAAGATTAACGTCAACAGTGAGCTACTTTTACTATCAGCGGAAACATTAACATCGAGAAGGCGAGTTTACACTTGACGTAAATGTCTTGTGTATGCTGCAACGCTTCGAACACTGATGTTTTCCTTTATACCACTACGTAACAGTGTTTTAAGTGAACGACCTAGGCAACCAGCATCTGTTCTCTTAAAGAGACTATGTGTAGTTTTTACTGTTCATCTCTGGAAGTAGCCATTGAAATGATGTTAGGGTTATTAATTAAATAATGCACATTTGTTGAAAAATGTTGGCAGCTTTTTAACATAAGTTTAAAAATCAGGTCTAAAACGCATGGGAGTGGGTCTAAGCCATTGGGCGACGTCATATTAGACACCAAGTTTCCTTCTACGGGAACCCTTGAGGACAACATTTATTTATTGATTTATAACAAACGATTACAAAACTTTTGCAATTCATAAACTTCACTTGTTGTCCTTTATGTTAAGGAGTCTAATGTGCTTGCCATTTTGTTGGAAGTTGCACTCCAGAGATTGCTGACCCTGATGACCATCCGTTGCTAGGTGCTACTTAGGTATGTACTGCTCCCTATCGCCAGGGAAAATACACATTGTCACTTTAAGCCTAATTCCTTTCTTTTATTCTACAAGTTGAAAAGATCACTGAAAGTAGGAGAATGATCTTAATTGTAGGCTATTAGAAATAACACTTCAAGTTAACAGCTAATGATGGTTTTATTAGAGGAGCTACATTCTGGCGTGATAAGCTACAATTTATGCAAAACCTGATTAGTCGACTAATCGCCAGAATCATTCGTGATTCATCAACTATCAAAATGATCATTTGCGGCAGCTTTAATTTGTATTTAAATGAATTAGTTGTACAGGAATTTAAATAAAAAAACACAGTGTTGACACTTGGCACAGCTGGTTTAAGAGTGCAGGACAGCAGGCCGTCAAACTGGCAGACATACAGGAGGACAAAGTGGTGGGAAGGCTGAGAGTCCGGCCAGCAGCTCGCCGCCACCAGCGCCGGCTCGTGCTGCTCCACCACGAGGCTTACCGATGGTAGCAGAGTGTTTGGGGCTGGAAGCAGACCCCTGCTGCTTAAAAGGGTGGTGCAAAGTCCCAGCTGCAAAGAGAACAGAGCCAACAAACTGATGGACAACCACTCGAGAGACAGAAAAAGAAGAGTGTGTCGCGTAAGCATTTGTGTCAGTAAGCAGAGAGAGAGGGGACAGTGTTTGAGACAGCACAGAGAGAAAAAAGGACAGGAAAGAGACAGTCCCTCCAGGAATTCTTTTTCTGTCCGTTATCTTTATTTCAATGTCAGCATTTTCACAGATTAGCAGATATTTTAAATGTTTTGACTGCACCTAAATTGACCAAAGCAAGATAACTTATTCTGCAACTCGGTGAAAATTGTGCCAAAATGGCTGCACTACTTTTAAATGATCACAATACTTTGGTAAGAATATGTCCATCATTAAAGTAGCGCATCCACTCTCTCACACGCAGAAATTATAAAAAGAAGTGTTAAAGAAATATTAGAATTAATATCTGTTGGGAGAAACATTGAAATCCTGGAGAGAATGTGAGAAGAGAGAGGCAGAGCGACAGGAAGGAGGTAAAGAAAGAAATGAGTTTTGTTAGCTGTGAGTTGGTGTTCTCCTCCATTGATCCCCATCAGGAATAAATGACTATTTAAAATAAAATCTGCGGCTTGTTTTTAGTGTTTCAACTAGGGATGCACCAATACGATACTGGTATCGGTATCGTTGCAGATACCGATACTGATACCAGTATCGGTAAAAGTGAACAGATACCAGTAAATGATACCAATGCAGTTGCTTGAAAGTGACTTCACTGTAACTTGTCATTTCTGTTCACCTAATATTTTAGTTTTGTGATCACTTATATTACTTTTTATCTATCTCACAGTCTTTTCCTATTGAAAACAGAAGAAAATAAAACCTGTATTCTAATTCATTGCATTTTTTGTGTGTGGTAGAAGTATCTGTATCGGTAATCGGTATCGCCGAGTACTCAGATCCAAGTATCAGTATCGTATCGGTTTGGAAAAAAGTGGTATCGTTGCATCCCCAGTTTCAACCAGAAATGTATTTTTAAAAATACACAAAAAATCTTAATAATCTATGAGAAGAGCTCATTTTATTTCTATATGCCCTAAAAGTACATCAGTCTTTTTAAAGAAAAAGTTATAACTAAAAAAAATGAACACACACTACCCAGTAAAATTATTACGCTGACTGGTTTTTTGATACAGATTAAAAATGAGAAACTAGATGAAAACAGAAATAAATTGTTTTCTTTAATTCTCCTATAGATTCTGAAGTGTTTTTTTTTTTCTGTCAAACAACATCATCTGGCAGGATATCAGAAAAACAAATCTTTCTCATCCAAGTGTGAAGTGTGTTACTAGGATGAAGTGAGATTTAAAAGTAAATAACAAAATACAGCTGTGAAAATCACCATCGTTGTCACCGGGGACGCTCAGAGCTGTCCTGCTTCATAGGCTCACTTCATCTGATACTGACACAATCGTTTCGTGTTTTCACCTCAACACACACTTTGGTGGTTCGGTCGGATTCGCCCGTCACTTACTGCGGTTGTCTTTCATCTGCAAAATGGGCGTGTAGAGACTCTTGGATGTGCGTCCGTCGGAGGTGGTTGTGGTCAACATTGTGGCGTTGTTTCGTTCACCGTGCTGCATGGGACTTGACTGGTGACGCAAGATGTCTACCAGGGATCTGAAACAGGAAAGGCAGCCGAGAGAGAAAGAGAGAGAGAGAGAGAGAGAGAGAGAGAGAGAGAGAAATGGGGGGGGGGGGATAGAGAGAGGGAGGAAGAAAGAGAAAGAATGAGAGAGAGGGAGAGAGGGAGGGGGAGAGAGAGAGGGAGAGAAAGAGAGACCATTATTAGGATATTCATTACATATTAATGTGCCAAAATTACTATTGAAAACTGAAATTATTGCACATTAGAAACTAAAATACACAAAATAACCAAAGGAACAAATTCATGAATTAATGCTCTTTAACTGATCGAACACTGGATAATAAAAAAGTCTCTGCAGCCATTAAATAAAGTCATCACAGGGTTCCCAAATAGTCTCAAAACCTTCATGAGAATTCTAGATTTCCTTGCTTT